AAAGAAGGTTTCATCCTCAGATTCTATAGGAACAGCCTTACATACATTCCTCTTACAGCTGTGGTTCAGTTCACCCCCCCTGGTGGCAGATAGTGTTACCACATGCATTCAGTACTGTTTCCCTTGAGCTCATATAAAAAGAATATTGTCTTTAAAACACACAGAATAATTTGTCAAAATCAGTAATGATGGTTGCCATTTCTCCCCTGCTAATGTCTGCCACTGGGATGGAAAGTAGGTCAGCCTCGGTGCCAGGATGCTGCGCTGAATACAGACTGTGTGGCACAATCANCTCTAGTTCCACATGAATGTGCTGTGTGCATGTGTGTGTGATAATTAAAGAAGGTTTCATCCTCAGATTCTATAGGAACAGCCTTACATACATTCCTCTTACAGCTGTGGTTCAGTTCACCCCCCCTGGTGGCAGATAGTGTTACCACATGCATTCAGTACTGTTTCCCTTGAGCTCATATAGATGCATAGGGTATAATACATCAGGATAGTGGGATGTCTTACAAAGAATATTGTCTTTAAAACACACAGAATAATTAGTCAAAATCAGTAATGATGGTTGCCATTTCTCCCCTGCTTCAAGGATGTCGTAAAACGTGACATGAAGGCCCTGGACATTGCGACGGATAACTGGGAGAGGCTGGCGGAGGACCGGACGAAGTGGCGCCAGCAGCTGCGCGAAGGTGGTGACAGACTTGACAAAGACTGGATTCGTGGACTTGCTCAAAAACGTGGACATACTGTATCTCTCTGATTGCACTGTACAATCTCTTGTAGATTTTTCTTGCCAATAACCAATGCTAATGTCTGCCACTGGGATTGAAAGTAGGTCAGCCTCGGTGCCAGGATGCTGCGCTGAATACAGACTGTGTGGCACAATCAATTAAAGGTCACCTATTATGCAAAATCCACTTGTTCATGTCTTTTATACATCAACATGTGTCCCCTCTGTGTAAAGAGATTCTGAAAGTTTCAGGAAAAAAGATTATCTCACTTTCTGTCCTGATCCATTTATATAAAAAGTCATATAACGATGTTGTGGCTTGTGTAACCATTAGCCAATAACCAACCAAGGTAGAGCCAAACACGTCAGAGACATGTTTTGTATATACATGAGACCTATAATATATTGATGAAAAACAGTATGATAGGGGAACCTTTAACGTCAGCTGATGTATACCAAACATACATTTGTATCTTATTCTTGCAGAGACATGTCAGGTAGTTTTGATTTGCTTTGGCTCCACCGGCATGAGATTATCAGTGAGGTTGCAAGAATTAAGTAGAAGAGAAAACAAAGGTACCAAAACATACTTAAAATCTTCTTTTATTTTTCACACAAGAAATGTATCTAAACTGTTGAAGTATATTGACATTATACAAGTAAGTGGCTGCTAAAAAACTTCCTTTGGATAATACAACCATTTCTTTTGGAGAGTGCCACTGTAACTACAAAAAATACAGTGTGTACAACTATGGTATATACTTCTGGACAATCATATTATAATATATTTTATTAAATGATTATATTAGCTGCAGGTCTACATGGCAGAGCAGACACAATCTTTACACTATTTTAGCAATAAATATGAATTCATTATCAATCTGTCACCATAAATACCCATCCTACAGTTATGATACAATGATATGTTCTCTTTCAGAAGAGATGTTTTTTGATTTCTGTGCTTCTGTGTGTTTGTTACACTGAATGTTTATATGTACACTCTCCTGTATTAGTGTTGGCAGTCGTATAATGCTGGTTCTGTCGTCACTGGATCACTGTGACGTCAGCTCTAGGACCAAATCTGCAGGAGAGAAGAGTGAAGAATCATTAGTTATTAGCTTAAAGTTCCCTACTCTTTTTCATCAATATATTATAGGTCTCAGATAAATACAAAACATGTCTCTGAAGTGTTTGGCTTCAAACACCAAACAGATCATCGTAGCATCCCATAAACCCCTCTGTTTCAGCCCAGTTTCAAAAGTGCTAATTCTGTAGCTTTAAATGCTAATTAGCTGCTGCTGGCCACGCCCCTCTGAGAAGTGATTTGTTTAAAAAACACAATGGTGCTCTAGGAGGAGATTCAGTGGATAAGGTGGGGGGGGGATGGATCAGGACAAAAAGAGAGAGAATCTTTAAACACATTATATATGTATTTATAAAAGAGATGGATTGCATAATAGGTGACCTTTAACACCTTTAAAATGCAACAACTTATTTTTCCAATAAAAAGCAAGTGTAAGAAAACACATGGTGTTAATATGAGGACACGGTCGGCCACACTTTGGCCACCAGATCTTGATTGACGTCTTCCAGTAACAGGTTAGTAGCCCAACATAACCTTTTGAACCATTTTCAAATTTAAAATCATCCAATTTATATACTGGACTGGACAGTTATAATCCTAAAGAGATTTCACAGCAATTTTCAAATCACAATTATCATTGCCAAAATAATGAGTGACTTCCTGCACATTTCCTCGACAAGGACTGCTCCTTGGTTCTTAGTTTTATTTGATTTATTTAAGATTTTTGCTATTTTGTCAAACGTTTGTTGCTTGCTCTTTAATGTGAAACTTTGTAGGTGGCTGTCCTGGACAGAGCCCCTTTGAAAAATGTATTTTTTATCTCAATGGGAAAAACTCCTAGTTAAAATACAAGTAAAATACCAAATAAATACACAAAAAGAAAAAGCAGAAGTTATTTAAGATGCATTGGATTCGTTAGCCAGGATTATGGTATGTGGATTATTAACCTCATCATCATCATCATCATCATCATCATCATCATCATCATCATCATCATCATCATCATCATCATCATCATCATCATCATCCCTTATTTTACATTTTTTAACGGCATGATAAACCCAAACACTGGTATATCGAGACATCCCTAATCCCAACCCCTTTGTCAAATAAGACCAGGTAACATTCATGTGTTAATTTAATTAAAGGAGCTCAACGTAACTTCCTATGTTGTGATGTGAACAAACTGGCAAAAAGTGAAAATGAACATGAAAGTGAAGTGTTCAATTCATGATGATGCTTTAAAGGGCTGCTGACCCGTAAGGTGTTGTCCCAGGAGGCGGAGCAGAGCGCTGTGCCGTCGGGCGACACTCTCACTCTGCTGACTCGGTTCTCGTGGCCGAACAGGATGGAAGCACGAGTTCCCTTCAACACGTCCCACACATTGATGGTGTAGTCGTTATATCCAGCGAACAGCAGGCGGCCTGTGGGCGTGAGGGGGCGAGGGAGAGAGAGAAATGACATGAAACAGGAAGTGGGGCATTTGGAAAAAGGGGAAGTAGACGCAGAAACCAGGTTTGTTAGGGAAGTTGTGTTATCAACTCACAATTTCCTTGAATTACTAAAAATAGCTTCATTTATTTAAAACACTGCATCAGGAATTATTCCCAAAACGTTCCCTTAAAGGTCCCCTATCACACTGTTTTTCATCAATATATTATAGGTCTCAGATATATACAAAACATGTCTCTGAAGTGTTTGGCTCCAAACACCAAACAGATCATTGCGGCATTACCCATAATCCCCTCTGTTTCAGCCCTGTTTCCAAAGTGCTGATTCTCTGTCTGTTACTTTAGATGAAAATAAGGAGCCCCTCCCCACGACCCTCTGAGAGATATTTGGTTAAAAAGAACACAATGGTGCACTATGAAGAGATTCAGGTGATAAGGTGTGTGTGTGTGTGGGGGGGGTTACCTTGGTTGGTGATTGGCTAATGGTTACACAAGCCAAATAATCATTATGACATCATAAAGTGGCCAAAATCTGATCAGCTCATTTTCAGACAGGTTTTTATATAATTGGATCAGGACTGAAACTTTCAGAATCTCTTTACACAGAGGGGACACATGTTGATGAATAAAAGACATGAAAAAGTGGATTTTGCATAATAGGTTACCTTTAAGATGCTTTTATGAGTATTGCATACTCCACACTATCAATGGATGATTTAGTTTAAAGTGCTTCAGAAAACCTTACCACTCAGAGAGAAGTCCAGAGTGGAGGCTCCAAATATCACGCTGTCCTTCTGATAGACGGCCACTTCACGGTCAGCGCGCAGATCAAAGAAACGACACTGAGGGACGAAAACACAGACAGGACACAAACAGTGATTTCACAGTGGACCTTTCAGTACACAGTAGGTAGTATTAAAGAATTATAGCAAAAAGGTCAGAGTCTGGCATAGGATTATATGAAGATGTCCTATCAAAATTATCCTGGCCAAAATAATTGGGATTTACAATGTTTTCCATACAGTCATCAAAATATATATCACTTTACTGTATACATTTAAAAAAAACTAGTGTTAGTAATGGACCACAGATTGGACAGACCACTGTTTAGTGAACTTAAAAGGTGCCCTAGATAAATAAATAAAAATAGCAAAATTGCGTGAGTCTGATCTTTCTTTAAACTAGATCCTTATGATGATGTTGAGCTATTCAAAACAAATGAGAATATTTAAGATTAGGATGAGGAAGTTAGCCACAATCAACTTTGTGACACATTTTTATGTCTATAAGAACAAACTATCCCATCCCTAGTCGAGATTACTTTTGAGCATGTCAGTACACGTTGTTGTATTTCTATGTATCTGTTTCTGTTGACAGGTGTTGTTCGGTTAGAGTACTAGACTCCTGGTACTAGGATGGGTTAAAAGCAGAGAACAAATGTCACTGTGTGTGCTGTGTGCTCTGCGTGTGTGACCATTAAAGAGGGTTTCATCCCTCCCAATTCTATCTCTATTAATAGGTTCACTGAGTTCCCTCCTTAATAAATCCTGATAAGAAACTGGTTCAGACACAATAAATCAATCGAATATCTACACATGCACTGAGGGCGTCAATAACGACCTTGTGCGGGACACATATTGACACGAGGAACACATATTGACACGAGCAACGGACACATCACAACAAAGTGATAAGCAGGTGGAACAGTTGGACGTGACTCACTGTGGCATCGTCTGAAGCCGAGGCAAAAGCATCCCCACTCGGGTAATACCTGAACACACAGGGACATAGAGTTAGAAATCATGCATCAGAAAGTATCAACAAATACGATTACTTCTTTATTACTAGTTTCCCGCTTACTGTTTAGTCACAGATTATTACAGAAACAGAATTTAGACCGACCGCTACGCAAACACACTATTTTGTTCTTGTCAAAGGTTAAAGGTCAACCCCCTTTCAATTTTCTATTAATTAACTTTTTCTTTCATTGTTAAAATCACAGTAAATAGTGTTTGAAAAATGTGTTTACTGCATGAAGAAGCCCACACATCTTCATTAAGTGAGTATTTCTGCTCAATAAACGTGATGAAAGCTGGTCTTACTCTTATATGGAGCAAGATCAAATCTCGCTAATTGAGAAAAAGGAAATTGTGAATGATGCTAATTTATTTTTGCAAAAATGCATCCATATCTTTTTCCAAAAAGTCAAACAACAGAAAAGCTAGATTTAAATGTTATTTGGACCATATTCAATATAGTTCTCATTTTTAGAATTCAACCCAGTTAGTTTTCTTGAACATTTAAAAACATGATTAAGTCAGGACACTACGGCCTCTCATTTAGTGAAAGACGAATAAATGAAAGGGCAGCAGAGCGCCTCAGATGTATCTATGACGTTGGGCACGTGTGCAGACACACAGCGGTAAAATGCCCTCTTTCATTGTGCATCCTGATGAGCTATGGAGGAATGAAAGGTCTCAATATGTACTAGTAGTAGCAGTACGAACCATGTATGACATCTTTATCTCATGTTCCATTCTTTTATATATGTTTCTTTTTATCAAGGAGCTGCACTCACTTCACACAGTTGATGTCTGATTCGTGGCTCTCAAAAGACTGAACGTTCTGTCCAGAGCGCATGTCCCAGATGTTGGACTTTCTATCAGAGCCCTGATAAAACACACACACACACACACACACACACACACACACACACACACACACACACACACACACACACACACACACACACACACACACACACACACACATTACAGGGGACAGATGGATAGATAATCTTTAAAAGCATTTTTCCATGTGAGCATGATCCTCCACCCACTTCACACCAGTACTTATGGTGAAGAGACACGTTTATGTTCTATTGGAAGGACATCCATCTCAAACGTTTTGAATTATGATGACAAACGTTATTGAAAAACCTAAGACTTTTGATTGTATATGCAAAATGTTGGGAGTCATATTTAAAAAATCTACCTAAGCTCAAACTGCTGGTATTCAAAGAGCATATGATTGGTACAAATGAAATCCACATTTTGTAGATTCTATTGGATTACTTTATGTAACCTGTAAGTATCATGGGTATTGCAGTAGGCTATTTTGTACCTTTTTAAAAATATAAAATGGACATAGAGGTAAAACTTTAACAAGGTTGATAGTATCAGTAAATCATTCAATATTGCAAAAAAAAGCTTTAAATTATTTGTTTAAGAGAAAACTTGAGCTTTTGATATTTAGCTCTTTTAAAGGTAGGGTAGGTAATTTTGGAGAAACAAGCTTGAGTGCGCTAGAATTTGAAAATACACAACCGGAAAAAATCTGTTGTTTCTCCAAAATTACCTACCCTACCTTTAAAAGAGCTAAATATCAAAAGCTNTGTGTGTGTGTGTGTGTGTGTGTGTGTGTTAGCTCCTGACCTCCAGCGGTGACGCCACATGTGCCCTGTGGGATGTGGAAAGCGGGCAGCTGCTGCAGAGCTTCCACGGTCACACAGCTGATGTCCTGTCCCTGGACCTCGCTCCGTCTGAGACAGGAAACACCTTCGTCTCTGGGGTGAGAGAGACAGTGTGTGGATGTGTCTGTTTGGTATAATATAATCCTGCAAAACCTTGTATCTGTTACATGTATGTACTTATTTAGAGTTTGATACTGATATTTCAAAGAAACTAGATTTTTAGAATAGAGCAATGAGCAAATATTCAAAAGGTTCAAAATAGCCTACTGCAATACCCATGATACGTACAGGCTACAATAACTTGGATCTGATTTGTACCAATCATATGCTCTTTGAATACCAGCAGTTTGAGCTTAGGTTGATTTTTTTAAATAGGACTCCCAACATTTTGCATATACAATCTCATATCTTAGGTTTTT